TGAAAATTAAATGCACTGTGAGATTTATATCCATAATTGGTGGAATAGTTCCTGATACCGTTGATGCAGCTTTTTTACTTTTAATGAGATTTGTAAAGCAGTTTGTCATATATTAATTAAGGTAGCTTTCATATTTTCAGACATAACTATTAATTTTTTTGTGACAGTCCCATTTGCATAGCTCACATGAGTAAATAAACAGGTTCTTATGAAAAAGTACTGTAAATATCAAAGAAAGCAGATTTTAAACACGGGTCTACTTATATTTTAACTATGAGTAGAACCATTCACAGAATCTTGAAAGTAATCTGTATAAGCCTGTAATCAAACCGATCTAAACGTAAATTTCATAGTTGGTACGTAAGCAACTCAAATTAGACCTCACCGACTCCACTCATATTTCGTTTCAATTTACCACGTTCTCCGTGATGAAGGAAAAATAGCAGGAAATCTGCATATCTGAGATGTTAAAAAAATGTTTCGGAAATCATTTTTAGGTATAGGTATGTGAATCCAGGGTTGGATTCAACTTAATCAACTCTTTTTTGACCTAAAACTCGCTGTGGCCCGTGCACAGTAGTGGGATGTATTTAGGCTCCTACTTTTTTACAATTAATAGGGCTTTCCAATGCTGATCATAGGCTTTCCCCATTATATGACAAATAGACCTGGTATTTGCAGTAGTATTCATGCTTGGCAAGCGGGTTAGCAACCGCAGCTCTTTATGACTTCGCGCTGTTATCAAGAAGAAGCTACCCATCTCCTTTTTCAGTTTCCCTCCGTCGCCTCTTAAGACACCCACAGGATGAAATGGGATAGTGGTTTCTTTTTCGCCACCTCTACTTGGCTAATATATTATTTCTACTCCCGTACATCAATTGGATTTCCAATAGTTAATATGCCATAGTGGCTAGGCTTGGCACGCGAGTTGCCAACTGCATATTTTTAGTATTTTGAGCTATGATCAGGAAGACGCTACTGCTCATCTTATGTAGATTTCTAATCCTGTTCATGGATTTAGTTCTTCTCACACGTTCTCCGTGAATAGAACTACATTCATGAAATTTTGAAGTCTACTCGAACGTAAAAAATACTGGCATGTGGTTCTAATCAGTATTCAATGGGACCAATATTAATAAAGACCATGAAATTAAACCTTATTTCATCAAGACTATATCAACTTTAATAATGAATATTATGTAAAAAAACGCATTTCCGATTCCAGCACAATCTTCCGTAAATAAAGACACATCGGAAGCCCGATATAAAAGTAAGTGTTGCTTGACGTATGATATTTATGCAATTCTGATAAACTAACTTATGTGTTTCTATAGGCTATAATATTGCCAATATAGACACAGATACCGACGTGTCTCTACAAGTGATCCAGTTTTGCTAATTTTAATACGAAATAGTATTATCGATGTTTATTCAAGCCCACGCGAGCGAAGCCGCGGGTAAAAAGCTAGTAATAAATAAGGCGAACGAAGATCCTGGTAACACTGATTAAAATATATTATGAATTTACGAATAACAATTTAATTTGAGATTTTTGTCTATTAAACTTTATCTATTAAAATATAAATTGTTTGAATATTGCTGCACTGTGTTTCTCACCAACCCCTAAGGTACCGTGGACATGTTGACAGGTCCAAGTTTTGTGACCGCTGAGTACAGAGGACATGTATACATGTCCGCATTACGTGCCGCTATTTTCGTCATTAATTGATATAAAAATACAGTATATTTTCGATTGAACACTATTTCATTATATTCTGAACGAACTAAAGAATATTCTGAAGCATTATATTTACTCGGTAACATAGACATCATCAAATATAACAGCCATTCGATTTTGCGTACCGGTGCGGTTAGTTGCGTAATCGTTGAAGTTTTGTGATTGTGATTTTAGTTGGATTTTCTTTAAAAAAAACTGTAAGTAATGTTATTTATCTTTACTACGTAATGTTTTTGAATGATTTAAGTTACAACAACAGTAACTTTTTATGTTTCAATCGATAAAAAAGTAGAAATAAAAAGCCTATACACGAACAATTCGTAACGGTCAAGATTTCTAATAAGATTCTAATAAGATAATAATAGTTAATAGTATATTTCTTATTGGAATACCATAGTAAATACTTTTACTAATAATTGCTAAATGTTATATCTATATGATTGTATAAGAAAAATAAAGGAAGACGATATAAAATATATACACAAAAAGGTTTTGAAAATGAGTTTACAAAGCGCGCGCAAACTGTCTATTGTCGAATTTTTAACAAATGTTTGCAAGTGAAAAATTAGAATTATTATAATTATTACATGCATAATTTCGATTCATTTAGGAAGAATATGTTGTATTTACTATAAGGACATAAAAATAAAATAAAAACTTACGATATTTCATTCATAAAATAAAATTTATCGTCAGTAAGTACACTTTATCAAGATCCGTTAGAAACAAAGAGCTGTACAAAATAAAATAAACATTTAAATGTTATGGTTATTGTTTCTACTTATCGAAAATCTTATCGGTTTTAAATGACTGTAACTAAAACCTCTTTGAACATAAATGAAAGGTCGTGAGAAACATAAATATTTAAAACAAGTGCCGCCATCTGAGGTGACGACAGAGGCTCCGGTACAAAGCTGTTTTTTGTTACGGCGGGCGCAGTGAGTGATAGGTTAGGCGAATCGACTATAGTGGCGTACCGTGGTATAGTACCAAGAGCTTACGCTGCTGTATTTTTTCTTCCCTCTTCCCATGAATCTCGTCTAACTGGAAAGGAGGCATTCCATCTAAGCCCTCACTCCTCACCAGTGACAACGCATCTGCATTTTGATTCGTAATCGAGAATAGATGAAGATGTCTATAGCCTAGAGCAACTACTTACCATCAGGTGGACTGTGTTCTACTTTGTCACTCTTATCCTATAAAAAAGTACCGGGATATTCTTGGAACGGAAAGATGCTTGCTGTGCTGTAGCATGAAACTGCGAACACATGTCGGTTTTTTAAAGTGCATTTTCTTAAATTTGTGATGTTAGTAACTACCACGTTTTATCTATGTTGCTGCCTATTTTTTTTACTTTTTTACATTTTGTGTTGCAAGATTTAACTGAAATAAACGCCTATTTTTTTTTAAAACAGTTACAGTTCCAGCTTTTCAATTGGCAACCGCGCGGCTTATTATTACATGCCTAATAACTACGCAGCGAGACCTAAATTCGAATCCCAGTCGGAATTTGTACATAAACACAAATTGTTTTTTGGATCTGCTTATAGGAATCTGTTCTGATCTGTTTGAATATGGGGGAAAATCACTGACACTGCATCCTAGTTAGGCATGGCATCACGACTAGCTGTGATTCTATACTATATTTTGCGTTTGCTAGCTTTCAAGATTATTCGGAGTGTGCGCAGTTGACTTGGACTTAGTAAATTCTTTTTTGTCCACGAGGCAACCGTACGAATTTATTCAGCTTCGTAAATAACCAGGCATGTTCTTTAACTGCTGTGATAGAATGTGTAATGATACATGCTGTAACCTGTAATCAACATAGCCTAATGGATCGGACGTCGGAAAAGAAAAGTTCTCGACTGGCAGTTTCGTACAGATTAAAATTTAGATGCAGGACTGTAGGTAGTTACAACCGGATGACCTGTGGCGTCTACGTGCTGTTTTCGAGAGTCATTACGAATCGTCTCACACGCAGATTCGACTACTTCCAGCCTCCCGAACAAGCTGGTTACCGAAAAGCCTTCTGTACCACAGACCACATACACACCCTTCGGCAAATTGTACGGAAGACCGAAGCGTACAATCTGCCACTTTGGCTGGCGTATGTGGAATATGAGAAAGCCTTCGATTCTGATAAAATTTGAGCGGTGCTACAGTCGCAGAATATGTATGTATGGTAAGAATATGTATGTATGTAGGTATGGTAAGTGATGAAGTGTTTGTACAGCAAGGCTACGATGGCTATCAGAGTACAGAACCAGAGTTCGAAACCTATCCAACTGCAGAGAGATGTAAAACAGGGTGACGTTATATCTCCGAAACTCTTCACCGCTGCATTGGAAGACGTTTTCTAGCAACTGGATTGGAAAGATCACGGTATTAACCATCAATGGTAAGTACATCATCCACCTTCGATGCCGACGATATTACAGTCATTATAGCAGTCCATCTGCATTAAAAGTGATTAAATGAAAAGCATAAAAGTTAATCTGTTTAGTAATATTTCTATTCCTGGCTCGGCAGACTTGGGCAATTATGGCTTGCACTAAATCAATTTTTAATGCCCAAGTATCCTTGTACTTTTTAGGGTCGAAAGTACACAAACAAGGCGAAGTACACAAACAAGTGGACATGGACAAAAGAAAGATCACTCATGATGTTTGTGATCTTTTTTGTACACAGCCCTTCACAAGTCCACTACTGAACATAGGCCTCCCCCAAGGAATGTCACAAAGCACGGTCCTGAGCCACCTGCATCTATCGACTTCGTGCATGTCTTACCGGTCGTCACTATCCAATGGGGGGTGGGGGGATGTGTTGCCATACACTTCGCTTACTGTTACGAGGCTGCCACCCGATATCACTCGATTGTGATAAACTTGGAAATGAGAAAATCCGCAGAAGAACCAGAGTGACCGACATAGCCCAATGGATTAATAAACGATGGATGCAGGTGGCTCAGGACCGTGCTTTGTGGCATTACTTGGGTAAGGCCTATGTTCAGTAGTGGACTTGTGAAGGGCTGTAATGATGATGATGATTATAACGTGGTAATAATCGATATACCTGAGACGGTTAGTGGGGAAGAGTTATGTTCACCTGAAAACTTGTGCCTGTATAACGATCTGTGTATAACAATGATGACTAAATTATTATTAGCGGGTTACTGTTAATAGCAAGTTTAGAAGGCCTGTTTTTTCATCACACTTTAAGCAGACTAATATATTTTAAACAAGTTGCAAATTAAGATACTTACTCAAAGTTACTCGCTAGGTTAAGTGTGCAGAGTAATATTCTATAACGTCCCATTTTTGCAACTTTTCCTGAACTGCTGACATCTTTTAAACATTCCGGTGGGCTTTTTGAATATGAAAAATAGAAACTTGAGTTAGATATTTATGATATTATGAAAATGAGAAATTGAAATACGGAGTTAGGTATATAGATCGTTATTATGTAAGTTCTTGTCATCTTTGTGATTATATTCTATTTAGTAATATTCTAATCACGCGAATCAACATTCAAACGATTTATCTTTTTAATGATGATCTTGAACATTAATCAAGTCTAAAATGTATAATTTCGCTCAGTCTGTCAACACCGCGAATTGGGTTTGTAGTAGTAATAATACGACGTAATTGCTTGAATGTGTGCTTCCGGCGACGCCAATCCTCGTACAAAATTAGGTTGACAGCCATTCTATTGTGTATTATAGTATTCTATGGGCACTCATGATTTTATCACGGTTTTATTTTGCAGGATGCTACCGTGTGTGGCACTATATGTCTGCTTATTTCGACAGGACGCGTCTTTTTTTGCATCCTTCCCATGAAGATTTACTTCTCGCCGGATGATTGCTGATTCTGTCGCTGATTTGGTTCTTCAGGGAATGAAACCTTTTATTCCTTTATTTTTAGTAAAATTGCATCATGTTATAAGCAAGAGTCCTACCAGGCATGGGCTGACGTATTATACGTATATTTCAGCTTCTAGGTCCTTCAAGAGAGTCATTGTCAAAGCAAAGTCAGAGCACATTGGCAGAATTGGCGAGAAGCTAGTTCACCTTCCTTAGGGAACTCGCGCATTATGACCTTTCGCCAAGGTTGTTCTAGAGAACTTCTGTCAGCCTTCTCTTTCATATCTGCACTGGGGTTTTCCCGACTCCGAGTCCGCCTCATTGGCTCATTCCTTCCCTAAAGTCGATCTTTAAGGTTCTCTTTTTGCGTGCAATTCTACTCTCGATGACGAGAGGAAGACACCACCGACCATCCGGAGGTGTGAGTTCTCCATGCCGGCTATGCAGTTTATAAAGCGCTCAGTGCACAAAGCACTTTTATCCTTGGACGTCAACAAGACAAATGGGCTTGTTGGAGTCCCTTCTATTGTGCTGAAGATGTGTGCTCCGAAGTTAGCACTGGTTCTAACGCATCTTTGTCGCTACTTCCACTAAGCGTAGTCTCATAAATCGCCATAACCTCCTTGTTGCAAATGATGAAATCCATTATAAAATACCAGCTCATGATATCACATCACGAAGACAACCAGCTGATTAGTAACCGCCAATATGGTTTCCGTCAGAGTCGCCCACCTAGTGATCTTCTAGTTTACGTAACCTATATATGGACTGAGGCAGTAGAGTACAAGGGATAGGTCTATTAAGACATAGCGAAAGCCCTCAATCAGGTTTGGCACACAGTGCTCCTTTAGAATCTTCATTTCTATGGGCTTCCCTAGAAATGTGCAATGAGATAACCAGTTTCCTTGCAGATCGAATCTTAAAGGTCTTAACAGATGGTGCATGCTCTGACCACAGTAACATTCATTACTGTGCAGGTGGCAGCACTGGCGATGTTTTTTACACATGCCGTGGCAGTATGTCTCGCAAACACGTCATTAAATACTGGTAAAAACTTGTGTTTGAATTAGAGTCTTGAAATTCTCTGATTAAGGACGACAACAATCTTGTACAGTTAACCCTCTTAACACAGGTTTGCACATAGGTTTGCCGCTAAAAACAAAGCGTCTCGTATTTTCTCAATTTCAGGGTCGGAATCCTCGGTGTTGACATACCGAATGACGTGCAGTTGTGTGGTCTCTTTGAAGAGACGCCTAAATTGGCCCCTAAAAAGCTTGTCGTGCTTATTATTGAATATTGAATACTGTTCTCATCTCAGGGCTGGGGCACCCCAGTGCCAGCCACTTCCAATAAATACCATCCACACTATCTGAATGCTTGGCGATCTACCACTATAGGATTTACTAGGAGTTTTCTTCCTCGCACGACTTCTCTGTGGAATCTTCTACCACCAAATATTTTACGACTTAGAGACCTTCAAGAAACGAGCTAGCTCGTTTTTAAAAATTCATGGGTGGCGATTGAAACGTTCCATCAGATGAGCCGAATGCTTGTTAGCTCCCTCTTCTATAAAAAGCCCGAGTTAGTTTCACGCCCACAACCCATGAAGTTGCTAATTATAATCTTACGTGTTGATTTACCACGTGAACAATGGAGAAGATATGCATTTCGAGCAAATTTGTATGAGACATGTTGAGAAGTTCGCCAATATACGCTGGAGTAGCGTGGCGGATCAACAGCTGCATTAATATAGTAAAGTAGTTAGTTACATATAAGACGTTAAATGAAGTTAAAAAAACTAACCTGGTTCTGCAAGCTGAATTTATGCGCAGAAATGCTTTTTTTGGGTCTTGACTTATTATTTTCGTGTATTTGAGTAGCAAGCATGCCACGTTGTCCACCGCAGTGTTCGAGTGAGCACATACCAAAATGCGATTACTGCCATTTTTTATTACTAACTGCAATTTAAAATTAAAATAATTTGTTCTTGTTGTGCTATTGTTTTGAAATATTATGAGTTGTTATTAATAATGAAACAGTTCAAACATAATAAATCGGTTTCTATTGATTTATTATATTTGCACATCCCAGTTTAATCTGATTTTTCTACTGATTTTAGACACTGGCTCAAGAAATTATTGGTTTTTAAACTGTCTGCCAGTCTGTCTTTAAATATGGTACTGTCTGTCTTTCTGACTATCTTATCTTGTTGTATTCACGACCCACGCAAAAATTACTAGACGAATTACCATGAAATTTTGTTTGTAGGGAGGTAGTTAATGACCTACGTAAGGATATAAGCTTTTTATCCGATTACGGAAGTTCAGGAAAAAAAAGGTTATATTTGCTTTAGAAGTTAATTTTAATAACGTTTATTAATGTAATAACAAGGTCCTACGGACCAATTTCGGTCACAGCGGCCAGTCTCAATGAAGATGAGCTATCTGCACAGGAAAGGATTGCAGTGCCCAAGTGTATGGCACAAGCACAGGTGCAATCTCTATTCCTTCACTCTCATAGTCCGACACGACCGGAAAGAGATTCGCACGTAAGCACGTACGCACGCGCGCAAATACACACACTTAGACACACACGTGTGCGTGCACGCTTGCGAATCCACGGGACAAATTACCAAATTTCTAAAAGTATTTTGTAAGTTATTCCAAGACCTAAGCAGTTGGTTTTTAAATAGAAAACAACAGAATAGGGTATTACACAAATTTTCAAAACGATTTTCCGTGATTCCAAACTGCATGCCATGGTCATACGAGGGGTGCATGCCAATTTTTCCAGAGTATTTTTATTACAAAAACTTCCATTCTTTACATCGGCATGCAAAAGGAATTGCCCTTTAATTTTTTTCAGGTTTTCAAAACCTTTTGATCATCTTGGGACGCCGCGGGGTGCATGCCATCAATTATTAGAGCTTCAATTTGCTTGAACTTCCGTATATTACAATGGCATGCAGTATACTATCACGGAAAAACACGAAAATTCGCTACACAAAGAAAAGCGCTTTTCCTTATGAAGAGGACGCGCGGGAGGGCTAAAGACCCGACAATCTTTGATATTTTAGGGTTAGTTATCAAGCCTTAAAAAGGCATGCACGACAAAATCGTGGAACGTCACCTCGTCGCCTCAGTGCTTGTTAGGCCAATAGACCATTTGAGTAATTTTACAGGAGCAATGTTTTTTTGTTTTTCTATGCTATGACTCAAATATAGCCGTAATGTTAGGTAGTTTCCAAAACTGTGGCACATCTAGACTTCTCATAATCTGTAAAAAATAAAAACTTCTTACTTTAATATTGTGTAAAACCGGTTTAAAAATGGATATTGGACAAAAAAAGGAAACTATAATTACGTTAATGGATATACACTACATTCCTTGGGATGTTAGCCAAAAAGCAACCAAAAGTGTTCTGTGCTTGTTTGCCCTATAGCCTTACTTCACAATACAGGCTGTGAAATTAAACAAATCCACTGCGCATCATTATTGTATGTTATAATAAAATTAATAAATAAATTATAAATTGTTTTTGACAGACTAGGATCTTATCTAACAGGCCTGAATTAAAATTAAATCTTCAATTTATAGATATATACTACCGGTACCCTGCGGTGTCACTCGCGTATAATTTTAACGAAAGGTACTGTCATTTTGAGTTAGCTTGACAAAAATGTGATTTTTGTGTGGGAAAGGAATTTATGTGCTGAATTACTTCTTCTATTTTGCTTTCGGCGGTCTGTTTTTTATGTGTTTTCCTTTAGAGGGTGTGGGAATCAATTTCAATTTGTTGTTGTAAAGTTTTTTGTAGAAATAATAAATTCTTTTAGCCGATATATCCAAAGTACCACAAAAAAACTTCTGACACACTTTCACTTTTTGCTCGTTTTCCGAAAAGAAGTACTATATACCAATTCTTCAAATAGTTATTTTTACTATACTATATTATAAATGTGAAAGTTTGTGGGGATAGATAGATGGATGTTTGTTACTTTTTCACGCAAAAACTACTGAACGGATTTGGATGTAACTTTGCACCCGGATGACTTATATCCCTATACTTTTTCGATTATCAACCTACGGTTCTTATTATTTTTAACCGACTTTCAAAAAGGAGGAGGCTATGTATTCGATGCGTATTTTTCGTTTACAAGTGATCCTCAGGTATTTTGGTTTCCTAGTGTGGTGGCCATAAGTAATTCTATCTTGTTATTGTGATTTCTTTGTCAAATAAGTTATTTTGTGTTTGTATTTTTTTTTTGTGTTACCAGTTGTGCCCCATGGTTTCACCCGCATAAGGCTCGTTCCTAGATTACTGGAACAAAATCCTATGTTCTTCTTTAGAGTTTCATGTATCTATGTACAACATTTCATCAAAATTGGTTCAGCGATTTAGGCGTGAAAGCTTAACAAACATTCAAACAAACTCACTTTCGCATTTATAATATTAGTAAGTACATTTGTATGCTCAGTTCAACATATTAAAAGCCCTTTAAAAAATCCCTGAAACCCCTTCCAACCTTGAATCACTTAATAACGCCTTCAAACGCATACATACAAAGTAAATAAACTGAATAAACAAACAAAACAAGAAAACAAACGCGTAGTGCCCGTTCCCATAAGAAAAGTAGAAATTCCCACTTAGAAAAGATATTCCAAATTATTTAGTATCAAATTAACTATCTTTAAGTGAAAATCCCGCCTAAATTGGTCCAGCCGACCCAGAGATTCGTCCGTTTGAAAAAACAAACAAACTCTTCAGCGTTGTGAGTATGACAAAAGTATGATTCTGAACCATCCTGTATTAAAGACACAACGTGACCTAAAATATTACCACAATGACTAAAATCGACTTACATTTCGTAGTATGCAGTACTGCGGTTATACCGTTTATCACAACTGGTCCAGGACATAATTTTCAAAGTCATGGAGACACTTTCCACCTTGTTTCACTTGTAGATTCACCGAAAAACTTAAAAAAATCTTGCAGTTCTAACACCGTTTCGCGTCGCGATAGATTGTAAATAAACAATATGGCGGAACAGCGAGGTGTGACGTCATGAGCGAGCGGGCCTGTGATTGGTTAATTTGAGGATATACGGCAAACAAGCACGCGCTGGGAATTCCGCTATATGAATGTTGGTTCATTTGTGGTGGTAAGCCATACAAGCACGAAAATTAAAACTGTATAACTTTATTTCGTATTTTTCACGTTGTAACTGTGGATATTGGTTTTTTTAAATTGTGTTTTACTCTTTTATTGGTATATTTACACGAGTCATCTTGATTTAGATTGTGTAGAATTTTATTCTTAAACATATATACATTCAAAGGTCATTTTCGTCCAAATTGGTCTGTTGGCCAAACAAGCACTAAGGCCACAACCTGTCACCAGCTCCCGGTCTAGTTGTTTTTATGGTGAGGTAATGAAAGAGATCTAAAATCACGCGCTTTTAATTTTATACCACAACAACTTTATTCTACACTTCTTTTTTTATAAAAACTCACAAATAATAATCACAAAGCTTTAGCAGGAAAATAGAACTACACCTTCCAGGTATATATAATGTACTCTGTGACTACACCGACGAGCGCGGGAACTGAAGTGAGTCTATTCCTGCGTTCATACAATAAGGAAAACGTAATAACGACTTAGGTGTGCTCTGATTGGTCGACGATTTGATTGGTCAATATTTCACTAAACAACTTTTTACTGAATTCATTAGGTTACTTAAGTACTTTCAATTACCAGGATTAATAATCAAATCGACAATTATTTATTATACGATTTAAAACAATATTTGAGTTAAAATTTGAAAATGGAATAAATAGTTGTTTTAACAGGAATTAGTTGCCAATAAAGAGATTTGTAAACCAAAAGAGTTTTAAAGAACTAGCTAGTTACATGATGTTATGTTTCGGATAAATTGCCGTTATTAAATTGTAGTATTAATAATTATAGACTGTTGATTATTATAATTTATAACAATTAAAAGACAATGCAAAGTTTAGGCTTCGTCAACAGAAGATGTCCTTGCGGCGAAATATATAATATGAAACAGAATAGCGCTATAAAAATTACTTTTAACTTATCGTTTGTAAAGCTCGTGACGTCAGTCCCAGGATTTTGCCGATTTTGCAAAGGAATAAGATATTTTTCGATGTTTAATAATGAGTTATCATCTTTATCACTGGGTGTGTTATGCCTGAATGCAATAATATGAGCACAAGAACGCCGAGGAGGTTATGGATTCAAATGCCAAATAATTTAAATATGAGAAGTACTTTGTTAAATCTGGAAAGAAGATATCCAAATACATTGTCTACAAAAACTGGAGTATACTTCTGTGAATATTATTTTAATATAAGTATGACTTATATTTAACTATCGTTTATACAAAACAAAATATCAAGAGGTGATAGGTATTGCAAGTCAATTTTTGTAATAGATTACGTTATCTTAACATTGAATTATAATGTAGGTACATACGTACTAGAACATCTATTTCAAACAAAAATTTTGCGCTACTCTATGTCGTTGCGTATGTGCGAGTGTATGTGGTCAACAGTGGACATCAACAGTTGTGACGCGCATGTGAATTAGGTAGAATGATTAGTATGTAATTATTGTTTATTTAGATTACACATATAATGTTAATTAATTTATTAAAACGAGTTAAATTTTTGATAATTTGTTAATTATTTTGCATGATATACCGTAAATTAATACGATAATAGAAAATTTTGTCACAATTGCATTCTAATTATACATATTTTTAGTACCTAATTGACCACAGATTACCTCCATTGACCGAGCTTTGCTCAGTATTTTTTTTAATTCGTGTGTTTTGGTAATTACAAATATGAATACTTAATATTTTTGAACTTACCGACATAATAGAAAAAACTGAAGTATAATTTAAATTTTCGTGTTTTTAAAAGTACTAAAAAAGGGCTCGAAATAATAGATTTTCTCAAAAAAGAAGGAAACTTGAAAAAAATTCAAAAATCCGGTCTGAAGACAGGACTAGAACCAGGGTACTACAATTTTGTGACTGCCCGATATCCCAATTGAGCTATTGTAATCATAAATACACTGTCAAAATTTTCCTTCTTACCTATTGTAACGATATAGTAGCAGTTTTTCATTGCCTGAAAACACGGATAAAACGACATTTTCTTTTATTTAAATCTAGAACTAGGTTCCCAAGAGCCGTTTAGCAGTGTGGGACACGGACTCAATTACAAAAAAAAATTGTGCGTTATATAATCGTCCTACACTTGCTCACACAAAAGTCACACTCGCATCTGAACAATTAAAATTCATAATCTATATTTCATGATACAAATTGCCGCCAAGAGAATAATTTGTTTAATAATTAATCTATAATACTTTTTTTATTAATTAAGTATCTTACTTACCGATAAAGAGCAAATCTTTGTTTTTACTGACATTCTTGAATTATTTGCGCAATATCTAAGAACACACCACGGAATATTTTATCAAGAGATATTTTTAAATGAACACAACACGTGTTAATTCAACAAGCGCTTAGCGAGAGACTGCGAGCGACTGATTAAAGTGCGGCGACATCGCCGCAGTTGAATGGGACAATGTAACTGAATGCAGTGTCGCCTCTAGTGCGCACTGCGCAGTACATAATAGCTCAATGTATTTTAGACATAGTAAGTTATAATATCTAAGGTATAATTTATAACTAATGATTGTAATCATAGATAAACATTTCTATGTATTATCAAAATACAATCTGACCTAGCATAGCATTACACTAACATAAAAGCAAAAGTTGGTAATAGATACTCACGTTTTAACACGCCTCAAGTAGGCAGAACAAAAATCGGGATTGCGTGCAAAACATTTGCCAATATATTTAGCCTTTGGTAGATTAGTACTTTCTGTTTTTACGAATCCGTCTTCCATATAATGTTTTCAATAAAATTCGGAATACAACTCAATAATCGTAATGAAAACTTGAAAAATTTTGACACAATACACTGCGTAGCTAGTTCAAATTATAATTTTTTTAAATTAATATATTATATATAAATAATAAAAAAAATAAAATATATATATATTATTTTAATAGTTAAAACATTTGATTCAGTGAATAGATTCTGGTAATTTGAGGAACAGATAAAAATATTCTTAAAATCGAATTACAAAATTTATAACGCATTTTTATGTATAGTAATCAATATTTCTCGTTTAGTTTTTTCAAAACCTATCATAAATATATTTATTTTACATGGTGTAAAATACACTATTGTCTGATACCTGTAGAATTGCTTCAACTATGGTGACTGTCTTGCCAGTTCCAGGTGGGCCGTGCAATAAGAAAGGCGCCGCACCTGATGTACCAGCCACAATACATTCTACAGCTGTCCTTTGCCCCATGTTCATTTTCACTCCCTGGTTGAAAAATCTAACAACAAAGTTACCTATATATAGGTGTATGTAGTATTTTATGAATTACAATACGCCAAGTAACACCGATCAACACCGATGTGTTACATTGTATACAAGGTGGGTGTACCATGGAAGGGCACTCTAACAAATAAACAGTTATAATTCGTTTATTTACTGGATAAACTAAACTAACAAATATTTAAGTAATACTTTGTTTTATTATGTAACATATAAACCACTTTTTTAAATTGCAGATTTAATCAATATTGATTGAACTTAAGTTTCTTTGAACTCTCCCAAATGGCCTTGCTAGGAACAAGGCTCCTTAGAAGGCCATTATAATAAATCTCAAGTTTAATAAATAGTGTTCAAATCTACAATAAAAAAGTGGTTTATATGTTACGTAATAAAACAAAGTATTACTTAAATATTTGTTAGTTTCATTTAACCAGTAAATGAATAATAACTGTTTATTTGTAGAGTGGCCTACCATGGTACACCCACCTTAACTTAACGTCGTCGATTCCCGAAATCAATGAAGCGAGGGACCGTACTGCGAAATAGTAGCGCGAGCGATTCGCCGCCGCGTCTGTGATTTTCAATTCGATGGGTGTTTGTGTAAGTAGAAGGAATTTGTCATCAAATGGCAATAACTACGAAATTTTAATAAGTGGCCTTCGAAGGAGCATGGCCTTCCATGGTCCACCCACCTTAGTTAGAACTAGCAACAACGGCATGTGTATACGCTTCTATATATTATTTAATTAATATTAGGAATAACAACACGATGATGAAATTAAATAAAAGGTAAAAATAATAAAATAAATAAAAAAGGGCCATGTTTTAAAATATTTTCGATATTATTTCTTAGTTTGTATTTACTTTTGATTAGAATAACTTTTTAATTACCTCAAAATTTCAAATAATCTTCATCATCTGATGATCATCATCATATCATTATTAGCACTCTCTTTTATGAAGACTATGTCTTCCGACACGTAGTCGTAAAAGTTAAAACGCTAACAGCACTAGGGTTGCTGCCACCCGTACATAGTATATACATAGTATCGTCACGGTAATATTATCTATACAGTATTGTAACTCGGCCGTATCTTTCAAATAAATGCCTACGGCCGTGCGGCACGTAAATATGTGATAGGGCTGCCTGCCTCCAGCATTTTTACATTTGCCTACTTTGTGTTTCCATTTAGTTTTATGATTGTAAATATACTTTTTATATAAACAAATAAAATAGGTACTTTGTGAATTGAATAGGAAGTGTTCAATAAAAATGCGTGTCGTTTTTTGATTTAATCGGTTAAATAAATTTGCGACCGAAAAATATTTGCACCTCGGCTGAGACTTACGAAATGCTTTATTATTAGATTTTTAAATATAAAAAAATCCGCTTTCTAATATAAAGCTAAAAATAATATAAATTAAAAATTGTTTTGGGAAACATTGACAACGTGGAGAAAAGGAATATCTTTTATATAATTGGTTATAGATACCTGCAGCTACTTTACAATTTATATGTTTGTTTTTAAATGGAAGTTCAGATTTATTATTTCTTTATTTCTATTCTATTATTTATTTCCTCCATTTTTTTATATATTTCACAAAATCATCACTGCGGCACAGTCTCGACTGTCTGCATGCCGAGCGCATGCCAGGATCGATGCGCGTACGCATAGCTCTCGCTTCGTGCGTTTGTATGAAGTTGGAATACTGTATAGATAATATTACCGTGGTATTGTACTATATTTCTGTCAATGTTACTATTTACTATAGAAAAATAATAAAGTACGAAAAATGCTATATTTTTATCCTTAATTCAACTGTAGCGCTTTTTATATTAACTGTGATTGGAAGTCTGGAACATATATGTTTTCCGTCATGAATATAAAATTGAAAGAAGAAAGAAAATAGCATGCATTAATTTCATTAAAAATTAGTTGTTAATTTATTTTAATACGAATCGAAATTCCTCAGACTCCTATAATTATATTAAAGGGAAGATGGTTAGATCATTGATGGCCAAAGCAAAGAGCAATAACAAATATATATGTAAAAATACATAAAGATTAAAAATAAATGTGTACTCTTTTCTCCTGAATTTCTCAAAAGTACTATAATTTTGCATCTTTTTTGGGAAAAATACTATATTAGTTAAAAAAAGGTGGCAACCCTAACATCTCATAGAACAAAGACATGTCCTTGTTCTCGACTCTTTAGACGATGACAGATTTCTAACACTACATAATATTATACTTGCCTGTCAATTCGACTGCATATAGTGTCATCATTTGATTCTTGCGGGAAGATCTTCGATATTGTAAATTGTTCTACGGCAGCGTGCATATTTACAAATGTTAATCTTGATAACAAAAATACGACGTCAAACCTTGTATCACATAAGTCGTATTGCAATCCTCTGTAAAAAAATAAGTGGAATAAAATAAATATCAACACATCTAAAAGTCACAAAGATTTGGCCGCAAAATTGTATAACCACTCCATTTGTAGGCTGTTCACAAAAATGAATGTAAAATAAAATAAAAATTATGTATGAACTTTTTAAAAAGGTAGACGATTGATAGATTGACAAAAATTGTTATTGTTTGGGTTTTTACTTTTTATAAAAGATGTATTTTTTTTGTTAGATTTACCGTCAGGTACTTTTTATTTTACGTCATATATGAGTTGGATCAGTTATTCCGATCAATTCGTCATGGTAATTCCCTCAATACGAGTAAAGAAGATTATGATGCGGAGATGCTACCCTGCTGTTAGTTTGCATTCATTATCTATTGTAAGATCACAAAATCACCTTGGATTTACTTCTATGTGTTTACTGTGTCCTATTAATGTGTTATGTAACCCCATACGACATTTATATTTAGTAGGAGTAGTCTAATTAAAGTTTGAATAACAGCGACACGTCTCCCCTATTTACACCCTTCCGACAATACAAATATTTTATAACGTAAAGTCGTTACCGAAAAGTTTTCTTTTTACCTATTTAAATAATTAAGTTAATTATTTATTTAATTAACTAAGCAGCTACGGACGAACGGACAAATCACACCTGCCTACATACTACATTTATAAATTACAACTTAGGATTTTAAATGCGATTGTACCTATAAAAATTAAACTTCAGGCAAAAACAAATGAAAATTTTATATTTAAATTCTGTAAGGTACTTAATATCCAGTCCAATATCAATTGTTAAGGAAACAATTCTTTAATTTAGATATACAGCGTACAGTTTCAAACAAAAACCAGACCCGCAAAGTAACTCAAAAAAAATTAATAACCATACCATCCAAAAATAAATATAGTGAGCGCATCAGCGAATACATAACACCTCGCCTAGTAAATGGTCTGGATAATAAATTTAGAAGTGAACTTACTAATGTTAACATAAAGTATAAATTAAAATGTTTTTACCTTAACAAATATTAGCTGTAATCTCCATTTTTGTAATAAATAGTATTATAATAATGTAGACAGAACGGCACACAACACAAACCTGCGTGGTTTATCGCTGTGCCGCATAGCAAATTTATAACAATTTTTATTAGATAATAAAATTTTAAATAATCATGTGAGTAATTCTACCGCTATCTACATATGTACTTTTGTTTTTACAGAGAAACTCAAACTACGTCTTTGTGTTATTATTCCCAATTATACAGGAGAATAATATCAGTACAAAATAAGTTATAGTTCGTGCCAAATCGATTGACAAAAACGGACATTGACCTTTCGGTCGTTTAACCAGGGCTACAAACCTTCAATATATAGGCACTTTTTATATGAAGTACTTACTCTTTTTTATAATGACTTTATTATTTTTTTTATAATGATATAATATATTAACTATTATTAAAAAGTTATGTAAAAGATCGCTGTAGAAGCAAAATCATCTATTGTTATAAAGTACTTTATTCATTTAACAACAAAAAGCATTCATTTATAAAATATTTATAAAGATTCGAGTGATAACGACACCGAATAAGTACGTACTTATTCAAAAGATAAAACTTTATTTTCAATATTATATAAGAACTTTAATTTTTATTTGGTGCATGTGGGCCGCCCAAAAAAAGTGACGCAACTCTGGTTGCCATTGTCACGTTTCTTTTGGAACGAACTGATGTAACGCCCCTTTTTATTTACTTTAAAGCGATGAATTTGCAAAATCTCAATATGGTGAGTACATTGCTTCAAATATTTTTTTTTAATATTAAACTGTTATTAAATGACTAACATAAAAGAAATAAAAAAATTTAGTCAGCAATATGCTATGTTTTTAAATTCTTTTAAATAATACATAAATTGTGTAATCCCATACAACATCTTAAAATTTAGTCTTTTTTTTATTTCTTCATTTAATAAACATTATTATTTGAAGCAATGTACTCACATAGTTGTGATTTGCAAAGGCGTCGCTTTAAAGTAAATTTGTGGTATGTGAGCAGACGAAGTTCGTTCCAAACACATTTTTCGCGATGTACCGTAAGATTTTACGATGTTTATGGGACCCACAGACAATATTATTTAAGAAACAAAAAAACATAACGTATGTGCTGACCTAGAAGTGTGAATAATATCAATATTTAAATATTATTATCACATCTAAAGTGAGATTTTGTAAGTTACGCCTTTTGAAACTCTGACTTTTGAAACATATCTGAGGTCATCGTCCGTTTTTCTCAATCGATTTGGCACGAACTATAGGTCGCTCGCGTTTGCAACACAATGGATGTTGAAACTGTTGCAGCGTGCGAGCTATGCATATTTATTATAGCTAATTATATCAATGTAATAAAAAATATATACGTTGTCGTTGTCGAGATAGCTTTTTCTCTGTATATTATTTACTCATATGATAATATGGCTGAATGATGATGATAGGTACACTATGATTTTTAAATGACACGTGACGTGTTTCCGTAACGAGCGCTCGATTCGGACTATGTTTGCGCGAGTGTGTGGCGCGCTGATATTGCCAGTGCTTTGACTCGCACCAAAAAAACCGACAAAACGCGGAGCGATGGGCATGACGTGGAGCACGAGTGCGGCATGACGAGTATTGTTCCCACACTACGTCTCTGCCTCCTTTCCTCGCTACTTCCCATGCCACACGACGAGCGTGTGACCGGAGGCTCTCTTACGGAGGACTTACTCTTTTTCGGAGTTATCAGAAAACATGGTGGATACAACAATAACCACAATATTTTGCGATTTCGAACTGTCTATAAAAACATTAAATGGGAATGACTAAATGGTGCCCACCTTTCTCCCAAGGGGGGTCGCGTTCATTACGGCTTAGAAGATCTCTCGCCAGATTATTAAGCCAATTTCAAAAGGTGGTATTTATTGGGTAAAAGTCTCCACATAACCACGCAGCCGGCTGCGGGGTGTGCTATGAGCATTCACCACTTCCCTCCCCCGTTTACCGGAGGGTCTTATTTGCTTCGGGCGCAAAAAAAAAAGACTAAATAAGTTAAATTTTTTCGGCAGCTTGTAGAATATTTTAAAAGAACCCCGATACGAATAGCCAAAAGAACGAAAAAAATTTAACTTATTTAGTCTTTTTTTGTACGTGACTTCTCTAAGAAATTTCTAATATAAGGCTAGCCCATTAATTCAATTCCATCGTATAACTGAATGCCTACACGGGGCTGGAGTTAAAATTATGACGCGCATGATGAATTGTAACCATAAATTGGTTACAATAGGCCATAAACTTGTTGGTACAGTTGAATCGGGGGTCTTTTACATAGAAGAAAGTATGACAATCAAGCACACAGTCCACTTGATTTTAAGTGTATTTAGTGATCCAGAGACCTTGTCATCCTCTGAGGACTAAGATGCCTACCAGTTAAAAGGACAACTCAAAATCTAAATTTTGATGATAAATGACGACTCCGTGGCGCAGTGGCTTAGCAATGAGTGGCTGCGCTGGGGGTCGCGGGTTCGAATCCCGCACGGAATAAGTATTTGTATGGCCTACAAATAGTTGTTCCGGGTCTGGATGTTTGTCCTTGTGAAATTTATGTTTGTAAACTGCCCCCACGATACAGGAGAAAATCCTAGTGTAGGGGTAACGTTTTTTAAAACGAAATAAAAAAAATGCAAGGAAAAATAACCTTACCTTAACCTTAATACCTTAAGAGTGATGTACGTGTTATCAATATCTTTAACAATGGCAACAAAACATTTATTTCCCAAATCACGTGCTTTCAGCAATATCCTAGCGCCTGAAATATAAACAGTAGTTATTAGTAACACAACTAGTTTTCAGCAGGAACAGAGTTGCGGAGGAAACAGACCTATATATACAAGTAGCTTATTCCGAGAGAACGTTCACTCAAATCTCTTCACCCAGTCGGTCAGATCTAGACATGAGCCGTACGTCGGAAGCATGCCTAGAAAGCTAGCGTGCCAGACCCTATCAAAGGCCTTCGAGGCAAAACAGAAATTGCTTTTACAATGTATTCGAGATCCTCGCCCCACATCAACGGTATAGCAGTAGTATACATAAGCAGGTCGATCAACTTCGGTGAAACCTGTGCTATCGGTCGCAGATGAGATACAATTCACTAGGTTTCAACTCGTAAATTATTATAACAGATAAATTTTCAATTAAAAAACTGACTAAACCTTGTATTAACTAATGAAATGACACGTTCGTCTGAATGTGCCAATTTTCTACAAGTGCCTTATAGGTTTAGTTCGTCTAAAATTATTACCTATATTACCTAGATATTAGAAAATTGTGACCCTATGGATACGAAGACGAATCAGGCGCTCTCGCACGTATAAAAAGCCGTTTAGGCCATAGGAGATTACAATGGAACAGACATACGTGGTGGTGTGAGCGGTGTGACTGCATCGGGCGCCGTCATCGGGAGGGCACCGAAATCAACAGAAGCGCTAATACCGGGCGATCCATAGAATACTATAATACACAATAGAATGGCTGTCAACATTATTTTGTACAAGGGTCGGCGTCGCCGGGAGCACACATACAAGCAATTACATCGTATTATCACTACTACAAACCCGATTCGCTGTGTTGACAGACAGTAAATTTACACATTTTAGACTTTTAATTAATGTTCAAGATCATCATTAAAACAAATCGTTTAAATTTTAATACATATTTATTTGTAAATGGTGTGCAATTTGGCGTTTTCTAAATAATTTACATACGAAATTTGGTAACGATTGTAACGTCAAAAGACATTTCGTGTTGACATTTATACGTGTGAATTGACATGTTAGTGACATTTTAGTGGCTACACGGGTTCCGCCTACTCCCCCGTTCTATTATGTATGTATTATAGTATTCTATGGGGCGACCGGTGCTCGGACCGACTCACTCACTCTTGTCGCTGACATCCCGTTTTCTTGAAAATAATGAAGAAGTCGAAGTACGAGAGTATTTTATTGCTTACAAGCCGGTAAGTGTACACTCTTCAGGAGAAGGACTCACTGGCCTCTTTCCTAATGTAATTACACAAGACTTTGACCTAGACCTGAATGATTGCCAAGGTTAAGGGTACGATGATAGAATAATTAAAGGTGTCCAAATCAAAATTGATAAATCAGTGTTCCCGAGGATTTCCATTTATGGTGTAGAGAAAACTTACGTTAAGTCAGCTTCTTCATTTTGATTTTCCAAAGACCGTATTATCTTCATCAGCAATGTGATAGGAAGAAATTTACAAGCATATCGCTGGATAAAGTTGGCGAAACTCGCTGTGAGAGTAGTTTCTAGCCTCGCTGTTGTTCACTTTCACCACTCTTACGACTGTTACGAAAAGCATCACGAATTGACGTGACGACTTTCTGAATATCATAAAGAAACAAATATCTCAATTGCAGCATGAGAAGCCTTGTGGCTAATTCAGTAAGTGGAGCAATTTGAGCTCATAGTTACAATGGCAGCTAGGTATGACATATTCACAAAGTCATAACAAATACTAGCGGATATATTGTTTCAAGTTAACATTGTAAGTAAGGCTTTGCAGTATAAATATTGGATTGGATTGGATTTACTTGGATTTACCAACCATGACGCAATTTCTGAAAAACTCCTCGGAATAAGAGATAGATCCAATTTTAAGCCAGGCTTATACTGAATAAAGAAGCGATTATTTGAGTACGAAGCCGTCGGTAAGACACCAACTGATCCCGAAGAATTGTTTAAAATGAACGTTACCCATGAGTGATACAAATGAAAGTGCATTGGTCACTCGATTTAAGTAACTATCAACATTCAATGATGCGTGGTCATTTTTATATTCGCAACATACAAATTATTCCCAAAAGGTCCACATTAGAAACGGCCAGTGCTGATTTGCAAATTATAAAAACTTTCTAACGTTTCCACCATGTGTCAGGAGAGACTCGCATTATGAAATCTCGTCCATAGAATGCCCAGAACTAAATTATTCCAAATTAATTAAAAAATTGCCCAAAACGGGGATATAGTTTTATCACAAAAGTTCTTTATCAACACTCACACAAGTAAATAAAAGTTGTCAAACAAAAAACCACTAAAAATTTCTCATCCAACTCACCCAGCAATTACATGACTTTTTATAGAAAAATCGGAAACTAGCATGTGGCTTACCTGATGGTAAGTGACTACCGCAGCCCATGAACAACCGCAACACCAGAGGAATTGCAGATGCGTTGCCGGCCTTTTAGAAAGGAATAAGCTCTTTTCTTGAAGATCGTCGATCGTTGAAGAAGAAGTCGTATCGGTCCGGAAAAATCGCGGAAATATCGCGAGTTAGGAAGAAAACTTCTAATAAAACACACAGTGGTGGACCGCCAAGCATCCAGATGGTGTGGATGGTACCTAAACTATGTTGTTTTGCAATGTGTGTTTATGAAATTTTGTGGCTGGAATTAATCCAAACAATTCCACAGAGCACTCCACGTAATAAATATGATAAAATACGCATAGAGATGCAACATCTCTTCGCAGTGCCAGTGAGCCAATCCAATCGGAAAGAGCTCGATCGCCGACCATTCGAACGGTTCTGCGCTGGATGCGATCAAACGGAAGGAGCTGGCACTGGGGAGCCCCAGCCCAGACATGGGGACAGTATTCAACGTGCGGCGGAACCTGCGCCTTGTAAAGTTGCAGGCGTACGTAAGGTACATCTAATACTATTTATAATCACGAATAAGCAACTGATATAGGAACGTTAAAGTTTTTGTATTTAAAGGGGCGCCATTTTGTGATCTCGAACCACCTAAAAATTTTGCTTGGGCCGCCATGAAAGATAACCGCCCCCCTCATTTCGAGGCCAATCGCCTCAGACACAGGTTCCTCCATGTTTTCTTCACCGGACAACACACAAAAGCAATTAACAATCAGGGCGGCTTCCCCTTTTGTTGAGTACATACATACATATATTTAGACACCCATAAAACCTAAAGTCAGGCAAACTGGTAAAAATAGAACACCTTACCAATCTGTATTGAATTACTCTTGTCTTTGTTACGGAGTAAGTACCTGGCAGCACCTTTTTTGTTTTCAAGTTTTAGTAATCTTACATCATAAAGGTTTGATTTCTGGAAAATAAAGTTGAAATATGATATGATGTATGTATGTGTATTTATAAATATCCAATAACGATTTATTTGGTGTGCGTATAGTAAGAGAGTTGTACGTGCCCAGACATATTTCTAGGTACAAGAAGACTTAACCTTACCACTTAGTAACAACCTGGCTATATCAGTATATGACCACAGTTACACAAACAAAGACTTCCATGTATACTAATAGACCGGCAATTCAGAGCAAAAACCGTCCCACAGCTACGGATCATGCGAGCGCGAGTGGATATAGCTAGCACGGAGTGGAGACCTCGCCAGGGGAGACCAAACGGCGGAGGCTTTGATTATATACTCGTTTTATCATATAAAAGTTAAACAAAATAGGTTTAATAAAGTAATTATTATGTAGATTAGTTTTATTTATTTTATTTAAAAATATAATAATATTTCATTTATTTTGTGTAGGTAAGTTATCGTTTACTGATCAAAAAACTAAAGTAATTTTTAAAATAATAATGTTCTGATCGAAAGATGATGTAATAATATTTGTATTTTGTCTCCCATAGTTTCGTCAAAACTCCCTAGTAATAAACTGACAACACCGGCTGATCAGATTAATCTGAAAGTAACGAATTAAAAAATCGTGTTTTCATACAACAATAGTGATTAAATAACAAAACTTATTGATGAAAAGTGATCTTGGTGTTAATGTTTTCAATGTTTTTTAAGTACACATTTAACAGCACAAACCGGATAATTAATTATTTTCCATGAGCACGTTATCACGGTAATATTATCCATAAAATTACCGTGACGTTATCCCTAAGTGATTCAAATGACACTGTCGTAGGTGAGAAGCGAGTCTACCAATTTTAGTACTTTATTTGGGTCGTTTTTTACGGATAATGTAAATTTAAATCTAGACAGGTATATAATCAAAGTAGTATACATAGAAGTCTTTGTATTCAAACAACTATCAGAGACTATATTTTGAAGCATTTCTCAGTATCGCCTGAGGGCGATAAAGCAAGACGAAATGCTGAGTATAATCTTACAATGCAGGCTGTTAAGTGTTAACAGCAGTTTTATAATTTAAAAAAATACTGCTGTGTACAACCTGCATGTGCCAAGCATGCCAGCTATGGCAAAATTCCCCTTATGAGGCAAACTGTAGAGGAGCCTATGTTCTGCAGTGGACTTTTACACTTCAATTTTCTTTTTTCGTTTTGCTGTTGCCGACAATATAGTTCTTACAACGGATTCAATGGAGGACCTCAGTGATGATCAACGACCTCAGTTCGAAGCGACAGTAGCCTAATGGCAGGGCGCGGACCGCGAACTCAAAAAGGTCGTGGGTTCGAATCCGCCATTCGACTACCGGCGTGAACCACTCGTAACACAAGCAATTTAAGCTTACCACGAGTGGTTAAGGGGAATATTAGTAATGTTTATAGCATTGTTAATATTCTTTTTTTTTTAAAGAAAAAAAGAAAAAGAAAGAAAAAAGTAGTGTCTTCCAATGAATAGGTACAGAACAGACGGAATGAGCAGAAGCAGTATCGCGACGGCGAGTAAAATCGCTGCAATGTTATCATGATTGACCTTCTACTTGACGCGCACTTTCCTTCTATATCATCCTATAATTGTCGACCAATGGAGATGATATTGGGACAACCTTTTATATTCTAGAAAGGATTTCTTTACCACCGGCTAGACAGGCGGATTAGTAATTGCAATACAGTTTGTTTCTTAGTTAGTGCTAGTTTGGATATTTTACATTTGACATTTAGTACTAGTTGCTATACCGCTATCTTTCGAAAGCCATGAGGTGTTTCTGGCCTTTCCACTCGACTCGCCTCTGACAGGAAGTACGAAATGGGACGATCGATTCTTCTCCGCACTAAAACTAAAAATATTGAGATTGTAAGAGGTATACAGATATACTAACTTGCAGATCTCTTTTGGCTTGGACTTCTTCAAGCCATAATAAATTATGAAAATGTTCTTTATAACTGTCCTTAGACAAATCACTAGACAAAGACGTTTTCCTGAAATGAGTACATCCTAAGTAGAATTTTTAAACCTTAAGTATACACAGTAAATATTTTGTTAAAAAAAGTCTAAAAACTAAAATTATGGCAAAACATTACTGGTACGCTGGCTGCTTAGACATACAGAATAGCCATACTTCGTCTCAGAGTGACAGCAAGCTCACAACAATAGATTACCTCTGCAGCAAATGGCACAAATGCAAAGTCATCTTTCAGATATTTGTTTGCGCAATTTACCCAGTTCAGCCGCCTCCAATACTTTAACTCACTACGCTAAGCAAGCTGTAACTCAACGCAAAGCCGATGTCCTCGAATGCCCAACAACGTAGCCCTTCTTCAACGAATAACCACAACTGATGACCTAGAGCTATCGGCATCCATTAAATTATTATAATATTGTATCTAAGTGAATAAAATAAAATAACATTATAATTGCGCAGTACTACTAATGTGTACCTAAATAACGTACATATCATAGACACTCACGTTTGTCACCCAGAGGGATAGGCAGAGACTACAGACTTCCATTTAGTACGATCCTGACACACCTCTCTCGCCTCTTCCACATCCATATAAGCACAGCACCTACGCATACATCCTACGCATATACCTCGTCGGTTAAGGGTACTCTTAATTTGACCCATTTTTAATATATCGCCAATTTGGTCGACAAACTTTCGCCTAGGACGTCCCTTTCCGACTCCACTTCATTTCTGCAACATATATTTGCTTTGTCAGTTTTTTCTCATTCATTCTTTCTACATGACCAAACCACCAAATCACTCCTTTCTTAATCCTGGTCACCGTATCATCTTGCAAACCACACTCTTCTTTTATCACACAGTTTCTCACCCTGTCACTCAGATAAATAAAGTACTGACATAAATATAAAAAGACACGTGGTAGGGCCATGGTGCAGCTACATTATTAGTATAGTTATAACACGAATGGGTCGGCTCTACCGGGGAAATACCGGGGATGGACCACGCTCTTACAGAGTACCAGCGTAAGATCGCTGCAGTTTCGTATTGTGAACGTAGAGAATCGGAGACCCCTTTTTCTGGAAACGAGGCACCCCAACTTAGCCCTCACTGCTGACAACGTATCTGCATTGATTCGTAGTCGAGGGTAGATGTAGATGTGTATAGGCCACAGCAACTGCTTACCATCAGGTGGACTGTGTGCTCGTTGTTGTCTGTACGATCACTAGCGGTCACTTCCTAAACAGAACAGCTGTCCACTGGATCAGGGAACAAAAGCATCTTGGACTGATAATTAACTCCAACTTCAATTGGAATCCCCATGTCAACTTTGTTTTACAGATTCCTTGTTAGTGACAGATTAAGAGTAATTGTGAGAAAGTTCCATATACTTCGCAACAAATCCGTATAGAGTTAGACTTGCAATATTTATAATTTATATCGATGATCTAGTAGACAAGCGTGCTAAGTGCAAAATTTTGCGGTTTACACTTTTTAATGTCAACATTCTCAATAAAAAGCCTGCAACTTTTGCACTTATCGGAATGCTTTTTCGGCTAAAACCGAAGCTGTACATTTTTTAATAAGTACCTACCTAATTTACTATACGTAGAAAAGTTTTTATACGTAATTCACTTTTTGGTGGCAGTTTTCAAAAATTTACTATAAAAAGTAGAGATGCCCCGAATAGTTGTTATAACGAATAGTCGAATACCGATTGATTTTCATTATCTATGGCGAGTAGGTAGTCGAATAAGTCGCCATTATCATTCGACATAAAAGAGGAATATAAAAAATAATTATCTGTTATCAAATAATAATATCACGCTTTTAGCAGTATTGAACTTACCAATCTCTCATTTGTTACTGTACTTACACTTAGTGCGTGACAACGTCTTTTGTCCTTAGGTGTTAACTTATAATATTATACTAATTTGATATATTCTTCTAATGAATAGGCATACATACCTTAATACATCCACATCCAGGTCATCACCGTCGCTTTTTTTCTTCGAATATTTTTCAGGTATCGGATACAATCTGATAAAGAAATATTTTTAAGATTATAAAAGATGTTGTTAATTTCAGCCTATTTTTTTTGTTTCCATTACTATTAAGTGTTAATATGGCCAGAGCCCCGTCTTAGCTATTATAGCTGCAGCACGAACGTGTCAACTCGACCAGAGAATAATGTTGTAGTATAATGGTTGTGCGTATTTGAGATGAGAACAGAATACTCTTTTAATCATAACATTCTTTTTTGAAGAATTGATTGCACATTGAACTTTCTTTATCACTGAGTTTCAACTTTCAATAATAGCTACGCGTTAGCCGCATTCATTCATTGTACGCGAGCAAACGGAGTTCGAACTCCGCTGGCACCAGTGAAATTGTAATTGCAATTTAAGTGCCGATTTACTCGGCGTTGAAAGCAAATATCAAGAGGAAGCCCACATGATTAAAAAAAATAAAATATATTTGGAGGAAAATCCAAAAGTGCACACCTCGAACGATCATATAATGTTTTGAATGATCAATTTACTTTTATTAATTACATAAACACGTTTTTTTATACAAGATAACGGTGACATTCGAGCGCACAGTCCACCTGATAGCAAGTGAGACATCTACATCTATCTTCGATTACGAATCTAAATGCAGATTGCGTTCTCAGCCGTGGAATTAGATGAAATCTTTGATTATATACCTGTCTATATGATCAAAGGATGAAATACCTCGTTTCCAGTAAAAAAAAGTTTCCGGTTTTCTACACTCTTCGTATGGTGACACACATGGTGACACAGCAGCGTTACTCTGCTATTTTACGCTGGTATTCCGTTAGAGCGTGGTCCTTCCCCGGTCGAGCCGACCGACACATTCGCGCTACGATTATAACGTTAATATAATTGCAGCATGACTACCGCGTGTTTTATTTTCGTTTAAAGCTACAAAAAAATCAGTTAAATTATCACGAATGTATGTTTGACAATATTGAAGCTCAAAATGTTTCCTAAGGGATAAAATCTAAAGCTAATAAAAAGAAATCAAAGTGATAAGTTCAGTTTTTCGAAAGACATCTTGTGTACATTATCGACCAACTGACGTCCAAGTGAAAACATTATCAATTAACTTATTTTTAATAATAATCGAAATAAATAATCTTATAACTACGTCAGAAGCATTAATTGAAATCTCCTCTTACTATTGGTGCACTTTTTTATTATAAACGTGCAACATAAAGCTGGTGGAGGTGATTTGAGTGGATCGCGATTTTTTGATTTGGTGACAATAGAGCACTACTACATCTTCGCGTTCGATGTGTGCAATATTTTGACTTCGAGGACATGTCGAGGTAATCTCTGTTCTTCTTCATATTACGATATTTCTCTCTCATTTCTAAGAGGAAGTCTTTTTAAAAAATGAGAGTAAGCTCAATCAAGAGACGTTAATAATTAACATCTAATCCGCAAGTAGGAAGGCCTTTTACTAATTTGAAAAAAGTATTAAAGATTATTATAACATGAAAATTGACGAATTTCGTAAGTATTTAAGTCGAATATGTTATATGTAGTTCCGATAGGTAACACTACTGACACATACCGTTCCTGCCTAAAAGTCCGACTGGGTTGGACGACCCTCTTAGCACCACAACAATCTGTCGAAGTCTACTGCTGAACATATATTTTTCTGATAATTGCTATAGTTGCCACTCTTGACAGGTGGGGTAGCAACCGCAATATTTTATTTTCTAGTGAGGACGCTGTGCTAATTACATGATTTGTCACCCCCTGTCGCCTCTTACGTCACCCAGCGGATGTAATAGGGTACTGGATAATTTTATACCATACAGTACTATAATACATACATAATAAAACGGGGGAGAGGGCGGAGCCCGCGTAGCCACTAAAATGTCAATTCACACGTACAAATGTCAACACGAGATGTGTTTTGACGTTATAATCGTTTCCAAATTTCGCATGCAAATTATTTAGAAAATGCCAAATTACACCCTATTTACAAATAAATATGTATTAAATTTTAAACGATTTTTTAATGATTATCTTGAACGTTAATCAAAAGTCTAAAACGTATAAATTTATTCAGTCTGTCAACACAGCGAATCGGGTTTGGCGACGCCAAGCCTAAAACCGTGGAGCCGTGGTAGCTCAGATGGTTAGCGCTCGCTGTAAATTTCACAGTACGCTAGCAAACCGGGTTCGATCCCCGCCGGCACCAATGAAATTGTTAATTGCAATTTTAAGTGCTGATTTACCACGTGCTCGGCGGTGAAGGAAAACATCGTGACCTGCATGTCTGAGGAATAAGAAAAAAATATATTTCGAAGACATGTGAAGTTCGCCAACACGCATTGGGGCAGCGCGGCGGACACTTCCTTGCCCTAAAACCCTCTCAGAAATGAGGGGAGGCCTGTGCGCAGCAGTGGGACGTATATAGGCTGTAACTTTAACTTTTAACTTTAAGCCTAAAACACAAAATAAAGTTGACAGCCATTCTACTGTGTTTCAATTCTATGTTTTACACCGCCACTATAGGGTAAAATAATCACATTAACCTTAATTACTTTTTCTTTGGTCTAGTGGCCATAAACGCGACCAATGATGATTGTTTTATTTTGTTTGCTGATCACGAGCATAAAATCAGTTATTAAGTTTTTTCCCAAGAAATTCTTAGCCCGGCATCAGGAAGATGGCGGTGTTTCACCCCCGTGCCCATTGAGTTATACACACAGTGTTATATATAAATCAATGCCCGTGCCTCCAAACCACGAACTCGTTAGTCCTACCTATGCGTGATCTCTCTCCGATCGTGTTGGTTTACCGACCCATCGGACTGACAGTGGGAGAATAGAAAATGCATCAATGCACCTGTGTCTGCGCTTACATTTGGGCACTATAATCCTGTCCTGCGCAAATAACTACTGGCTAGTCGCCATGACTGAAATTCGGTCTGGAGGAGATTATTCTAAACTTAATCAGTAATCGCTGAAAAAAGTTTCTGGAAAAGCATTTTAGCTGGTCGCGTAAATTATTATTCCATGCTCAGCTCTTTTTTTATATAGGATAAAGGTGACACGGGCACACAGTCCACCTAATGATAAATGGGTGCTGTGGCCCATAGACATCTATATTTAACCTCGATCAAAATGCAGATGCGTTGTCACCCTTGAAGACTAAAATGGAATGCCTTGATTCCAGTAAAACGGGTCTCCGGTTCTCTACACCCACCATACGAACAACAGCATTAAGCTGCTATTTTACACCGGTATTCTCTGAGAGCGTGGTCCTTCCCCGGCCGAGCCGACCCATTCATGTTACAACCATTATAGCTGCAGCGTAGCTCTACCACGTATCTTGTCTGACGGATAATCAATTCGGTTCGGCACCATTTGGCACTAGCTAGATGTCGGCCACTTGATCATTTGGACATTTGCGCCAATACATGGTATAAATAGCCGGGCGGATCGCTAGTATGTTGCCATTGTTGATTTCCGGATTTACTTATACACAACATATCTTTATTATATTTTACCAACTGCTGCAGACTATTATGATGGGCAAAGTAGCGGGTAAAAGAGGTTTTGGTAGAAGGAAAATATCTTGGCTATGTAACATCCGGAAATGGACCGGGATAAAGAAAGTTGAAGATCTGTTCAGGCTAGCCCTGAACAAAGAAGAATTTAGAAGGATGACTGCCGACCTTCAGTAATGGAGAGGCACTTAAAGAAGAAAAAGAACATATATCTTTAACGATTGACGGTTCCGGGGTGCGGTGGCTTAGCAATGAGTTGCAGCGCTAGGGTCGCGGGTTCGCATCCCGCGCGGAACAAGTATTTGTATGGCCTACAAATAATTGTTTTTATGTACCTATATAAACTTTTATGTATGTATATGGAGTAAACGTTTTTATACTTAATTGAAAAAGCCTTGCACGGTATTAAATCGCTGAAGATATATTGATGGACATTAAAGCTTCCCTGTTAAAAATCATGACGCTTCTGAGCCGACTGCAATTCCGTCGACTTTCCGTTCACCCTAATTTCCGTGAGGTATTCACACACGCCAGCTTGCTCAAACATTGGTAAGTACTAGTGCGCAAACCCTCCAGGTAAGTGTCAGTGTCAGATGCCGTGAAATAAATTGCTACACTATAAAATCGGGAAACCGAATTAAAACTTTCACACGAAGATATTCAATATTGCTATACCTATCACAAGGAAATGGAAACCTTGTTTCTAAAAATATTATAGGAAAATAATTCAAATTCCGTAATTTAAAGAACGCTATAAACCTTTGAATATATATATATATATATATATATATATACAGGCAAAAATTGAGGAATTAAGGAAAAAATGACATTTTACTAAAAAAGAATGTTATTTTCATTGAAACTCCACAAATTTAATAACCCTGTATATATATAGTCAATTATATATATATATATATATATATATATATATATATAAGGCAAAAATTGAGAATTAAGGAAAAAATGACATTTTACTAAAAAAATGTTATTTTTCATTGAATTTACGTTCCATAAGTGAAGTAACCAAACCACTGGTTTCAAGGATAACGGTGTTTACATTAACATCCTGTATATATATAGTCAAAGCTACAAACGTCCACGATTAAACGTTCACATTCCAGCTCGAATTTCTTTTCTGTTGATATATCTCATATTACCAAGTAACAAAGAGCCTTTAAAAAGTTTTGCTAACTAAGTATTACAAACTTTGAAAGGCAGTTTATACTTATATCAAAGCATTCTTAGAACCTTTATGTAAACGTCCGTTTCATTCATAAGTATCAACGTATATTTTTTTATACGCTACTAAGTAATACAAAGTAGGAGTTTTATAAATTTAAAATATAGGAAATTTGTTTTTGTCCTTGCCAGACGGATTAATCACCGCAGTAACCAAACGTCTCGCATATTACTTAAAGCCGTAAACGAGATGATATACCGCCATCTATTGGTTTTTCTTTGCATTTCCTATTGTCGCCTGCACAGACGA